TCAGCTTCTCTGAGACTTAACAGGGAATACATTGTGTAAGCTTTCCTGGAAATGCATGTATGATACTGTGTCATTTTCTTTGCTAATTTCCTTTCTTTTAATATTTCTTCTTCTTTCTCTGCCAAGGAATGGGTTTCCAGGTGTCACTGTTCTATTCCAAACCTTAAACTTTACTTTAAAAAATGATTATTTCCATTTCAGATTCAGTTTTCTTCTTCCTCCAAGTAATATCTTCTTCCTATTGCTTTCAGCCTCTGCTTGAGGAACTCTTGGTGTTCCTCAGAATCTCGATACAGTATCTGTTCCAGAGCAGCAGGTTATCCTGAGAATAGTGTAACGTGAGTGCACGTAAAAGATTCTTTGCCTGTGTGATTTTTCAAAATGAAAATAACCCTGTGCTTCATGAATGCTTTGAGAAGTTGCAAATCCTTCCTTCTGCAGATTGTTGAAAATAAGTGTTAAATTTTTCACCCTAAGAAAATAAATAATGGACTTAGTTTTTGAGGAAGGCAAAGGCACACAGAGGTGGCTTGGGTAGATGGCTGAGTTGTACTAACCTTTCCTTTTCCCTTTGGAAATTATTTGATGTCAAGTTGCTTTAACTTGATCATTTCCATCTATGTATAGTGCAGTGGAATGGAGTATTAGATTTTGAGTTCCTCAGTTCAAATTCCAGTTCTTCTGTTTACTACCTCTTAAGATACTGGGGCAAGTCATTTAATGTTTTTGGGACTCAGTTTCCTCATCTGTAAAATGAGACATTTGAACTAGATAACCTTTAAGGTCCCTTCCAGTTGTCAATTTATGATCCTATGAACTCATCTGAAAAGACCCATTCTGCTTCTCAGCCCTTTTCTTAGAAATAAGTGATAGTGTTTGACAGCAGTAGTTTTCTAGGTCTTAATCGCAGCTTTGTTACTGTTTGACTTCGGGCAAGTCACTTCAAAGCCTTAGTTTCTTCACCTGTAAAATGAAGGAGCTGGATTCTAACATCCTGTGCTTCTTTGAGGCTTTGTAGATTCCTGTGTTTTGTGATATTTAAAACTGAAGTCTTAAAAACAAGGTCAGTTAAATTGCTTTTGATTTTCACCCAAGCTAGAACTTTTATGATTTCCTTAATTTTATAATATCAAAGTTTCAGCCTCAGTTTGTATTCGAAATACGTGGACTTTAAAATATGGCATGGTTAACACACAAAAAGGTTAGAGGTGTATCTAGAGCTGGCAGAATCTGTTGGCACCAACAGTAAAGTCCAGCAGAAGGATGGCAAAACTCATGTTTACCTACAGACTTTGCTCATCTTGGGCAGCCTGGTTCTCTTCCAAGGAGGGATACCATGAAAATAAATGAATTCTTCCTCTGTGATCAAACCATGTTAGTCTAGTGGGTTGGGAGGACATAGAGATTTTTGTTACTTGTCAGTTGTATATGAGTTTTCTTAGCTTCCTCAACCACGGATTTTTTTCTGGGCACAAAGTATAGCAGGCTGTAGTTTAAGTCTAAATCCTGGGGCCCTGCTAAGGGAAAATGTCAGAAAGGGTACCCTCTAGTCATTGTGAACCACAGAATAAACAAATCTAGGGGTGACAACACTCTGCCTTCATATTAGTAAACAGCCTCTTCAGTCTTCCTCCCCCTCAGTAGAAAGATTTGGTTAGTGTGTGTGTGTATGTATATGTGTGTGTGTATACACAAAGACATATGTACACATATGCATATATATGCTTGCCAGTGAATCCTTGAGGTCATTGATAAGCAATTTCATGTGCTTGGAAGTGTCAGTAAAACCCTTTCTTCCAATTAGGAGAGCTATTGTACCTTAGTATCACTGAGGCTAAAGCATATATTCTTAACCTTTTTTTACAATCATGAACCCCTTTGTCAGGCTGGAGAAACCTATGGGCCCTTTCTCAGAGTAATGGTCTTAGATGCATAAAATAAAATATGTTGGAACAAAGGAAAAATTAATAATGAAATAGTTAAAAGAATATTTAAAAATAGAATTTTTAAAAAAAGGTTCACTGACCCCTTGGACCCCAGTTAAGAGCCCATGCTTAAAAGAGTTCTTGTTCAAAAGCTGCCCTTACTAATTACTTTAGGTTTATTTGTCCCCTTTCTCTTTTTTAAAATTTTTTGTTTTTAGGCAGTTAGGGTTAAGTGACTTGCCCAGGGTCACACAGCCAGTGAGTGTCAAGTGTTTTGGTCTGAGGCTGGATTTGAACTCAGGTTCTCCTGACTTCAGGGCCAGGGCTCTATCCACTGCGCCATCCAGCTGCCTCTATTTGTCCTCTTTCTCAGCTGTACTTGGGGCATAGTAAACACTGAATAAATGATTATTGATTAACTGACTGTGGATTTCTCTGGCAAAAACAAAACAAACAAAATTAAAAAAAATTCCTGCCAACTTATTTTTAGTAGCACTGTCAGAATGCATAGGAAGAGAGTCTGAGAATGGGGAGCTAGGCTTGCTCTTGATTGAGGTCACCTTTTCTCTGCTGATTTATTTTCTGTTCATTCTCCTATCAGATTCCAAAATGAGACTCATTTGAAAACAAGCAGAGGTTTTGCTGTAAGAAGAGCCATGCTTTGAAAAAGTTACTTCAGAAGAATAGAGAGATCTTGTTAGACGTTTTCTGCAGACCGTGTCAGCTATGTAATCTTGATTGGTTTGGGTTACAGACTGACTGCAGGAGCTTCGCTGTTTGTGCAGAACCACTGCCGTATTTCTCAAGATGAGGTTTAGCGCCACATAGCAGGCTCAGGGCACTTGCATTTGTGGAGGTTTAGATTCATGGACCTCATCTGTCTGAATGGTGAGGTTAATGGGTGGGGGATGGCAGGGAAACCTTATGAGTGTGTATGGGACCTCAAAATCCTGGTGCCTCCAAGTCGTTTCCTAACCAAATACAAGTTATCTTAATGCAGAAATATTTACACATCAGGAAGGAGTTGAATATTATGTAAAGCTAATTTATAATCTCTTACTCTTGCATATTCCTCATTCCTGTTTTCTTTCTCTCCTTCCCCCCCCACCCATCCTCTACTTTCTTCCTCTGTTACTAATTTTCCTCTTATTCTCTTTTCCTTTTGCCCCTCAAATTGACAGTTTCCCCCAGCTAGTTAGAGACAAGTGGACTGTGTCAAATTCTTAGTTTCCCTGAGAGCAGAAATGAGAAAATTCATGTAGCATACAAAACAAAAACCAAGAGTCCCTGAGCTCAAGGAGCTTATATTCTGAGGGGGAAGGAAGAGAGAAAAAGTCTAGGGCAACAAAACAATACACGGATACAACCTATGAAGAAAGTGTGTGTGTGTGTGTGTGTGTGTGTGTGTGTGTGTGTGTGTGTGTGTGTGTGTGTGAGAGAGAGAGAGAGAGAGAGAGAGAGAGAGAGAGAGAGAGAGGAGAGAGAGAGAGAGAGAGAGAGAGATGTGCACACACCAGACGCATATACCAAGTCACTGTGTCACTGTTTTGGAAAATTGGGGATAGAGTTCAGTAGCCACTGGGGCATGGAGAATGGGGGTGTAGCTAGAGGTGGCCATGGTCTAAGTTTTGAAGAAATTAGGGATTTCTGAAAAGCAGAGGGAAGAGGGATTTCAGTTAGGCCAGAATTTTACAGCCTCCGGAAAGGCCCTCCAGCTGGCAGATGGGATGTCCCGTATGAGGCAGTAGCAAGTCAGCCAGTTTGACCTGACCAAAGAAGTGGACAAGTAGGTAGGAGGATTGTGAAGGACTTCTTGGTCCCTAGTCTCACGCTTACTTTTTAGAATTCTTTTTATTTTTGGTTAGGCAATGGGGTTAAGTGCCTTGCCCAGGGTCACACAGCTAGTAAGTGTTATTATATGTCTGAGGCCAGATTTGAACTCAGGTCCTGCTGAATCCAGGGTCGGTGCTCTATCCACTACGCAACCTAGCTGCCCACTTTTTAGAATTCTTGCCAAGTATTGATTTTTGCTGTGAAGCATTTTGTCCTTTTAAAAAGTCCTTTCATCCACTGATATTTAGACTGGTTTACACACAGCAAGAATGTCAGTATTTTAATTCCTCCAGTGAAGTATCCAGTCAGCTACCTTGGAAAGAGTTCATCCTCTCTCCCCCACTCTTCCAGTAGAACTTAGGACTTATTACCTTTCTATAGAAAACAGTTCCTAAGACTCCAAAGTAGCATCCTGAGTGAGGAAATGGAAGAGAACTGACCTAAATTGTGAAGTACTAAACCAAGTACCTTGAATTTAAAAAATAAGTTTGCAGAGAATAATAGAAAATTATGAATTAGCATGCACATCAAGCAGCAAAGCTGTGAGCCCTTTCTCACGTGGGAGTTAGATGCATTTGTGTGGAAGCATTGTCTTGTGATCTGTGGGGCTTATGGTAATAGCAGTTCACATTGATTTCATAGCACTCTTAAGGCTTACAAGGTGCTTCTTCCCCATACCCTTATGAAAGGTAGTAAGGGGACTACAAGCTTCAGGAACACCCCAGTGCCCTTTATCTTAAGATATGGTGTCCACATACATGAGGGAGGTTCTTTTATTTTGTTCTCTTTGTCAAAGGTCATAATAATAGAGTTTGACAATTGATCTGTAATGTAATTTTCTCCCCTGGAAGGAATGGATTTTTCTTCCTTAAATAAGCTTCAAAATAGCAAGAAGGTTTTGCATTGAACATTTGATTTAGTGCTTGAAGAAATAACATTAGCTTCATCTAAGAGGAGTCAGTTTATTGCAGGGTGTCTCAGAAATCTTAGCACAGTTTTAAGCTTCAGCAGCTTAAAACTGCACTCTTTTGAGACATCTTGTATTCTTTTCTGCCAGAGAATATTATGTAAGCCACCTTCTACTGAGATTTCATTGACTGAAGTCCTTAATATCAGCTTCTTGCTGATAACAAAACGCTTCTTGTGTTTTAGACGTGCTTGGTCTTTACTATTGTCTTTGTGTGCAGTTTCCCTGTATGCACACCACTCATGGCTTGACTCATTAATTTTCGCTTTTTATAGGTTGGCACCCATGCGATTGTACACCCTGTCCAAGCGCCACTTCGTCCTGGTCTTTGTTGTGTTCTTCATTTGTTTTGGCTTGACTGTCTTCATTGGAATTGCAGGTAAGACTCCATTGGATGGTCCTTTTGACAAGGGATTAACTAGTTTTGCTTGGCCCTAATGGGGAGAGTGAAGACCTGTGATTGTTAAGTTGCAGAGATGGAGGTTTGGGTTAATATAAGGACAAAAATTTCCTAAGATTTAGGGTTATCTAGTGATGGAATGGGCTGACTTATTAACAAGTAATTTCCCTGGAAATCATTAGGCAGAAGTTAAGAATGTTGTAGGTATAATTCATGTTTAAAGTAGAGATCTAATTGAGTGACCCCTTCAAACTTGAAGATTCAGTGAAAACCTTAACTCTCAGCTAGTTCATTCTACTGTTCACTGTTAACTGGTATTACTGCAGTAATTATTAAGGCCGTTGTCTTAAGAGGCCTGAAGAGAATATATATATAAACTGGGCTCTGATGAATGGGAGGTGTGGGAGATACTAGAAATATACCTGAGAATACTAAAAAAAAAATTCGGTCTGGCCAAATATCTTTATAACATCATTATTTGTTACTGCACAGCTAGCCTTAATCACTAAATGGTATTGTCTCAGACAAGTTCAGACCTGGGAAAGACCTTAGCTTAAAAAGGCCAAAGTCTTCTGCTTTGTCTGGGTTCATCTTTGTTTGTCCTGAACTGTGTCTTGCCACTGGACCAGGTGGCTCTGGAGGAGAGAGTGAGGCTGGTGACTTTGCACAGCCCTGCCTCACTTAAATCCAATTACTTGTGAGTTAAGATATCACCTTCCTGATGTCATTAGTCCTCTTCAAAAATGAAGGACAAATAACAACAATTTGTTATTGCAAAGAACTGGAAAGAAGTGAATTGTCTACATGTCCAGGGGAACAGCTAAATACATTGTAACCTATCAACGTAATGAAATGCTATAAATATTAAGAACTGTTGAGTTGATCAGTTGACAAGCATTTTTTAGGCTTCTGCTGTATATCAGACATTCTGTTAAGTGTTAGGGATACAATTATAAAATCAGGACTGTTCTTGACCTCAGAGAGCTTATAATTCTGCTTAGGAGGCAGGAGGAGGGAGGATGAATACAGTATGTTCAGAGGTGAGAAAATAGAGAATATATTACAACCTAAAGAGAGACTGAGTGTGGAGCAGGGTGGGAGAGGATTAACAACTGGGAGAATCAGGAAAGCCCTCTTGAAGAAGGTGATACCTGAGCTGAACCTTCAATGGATCTTGAAATTTTAAGGGATAGTGGTGAAGTGGGAGAAAATTGTAGATGCAGTGTACGTTATGTAGGCCAGTTTGACAAGCATAATGTGTGTGAGATGGAGTAATATTTAAATCATCCTGGAAAGGAGGTGAGGAATATTGTGAGGAGTTTCTGTGTACAGCAGAGGAGTTTGAATTTTATCCTGGTGGCAGTGGACAACTACTGAAGCCCCAAGGAGTGCCAGAATTCAACCTGTGCTTCCTGTCCTTTAGTAGAATCAGTTTAGCAGCTTTAAGGAGGATAAATTAGAGAAGGAAGAGACTGAAAGCAGGGAGTCCAAATAGGAGGTTTGTCACAACAGTCCAGGGGACAGATGATGAGGGCCTGAATGAGGGTGGTTACAATCTATGTGTAGAGGATGGGGTGCCGATACTGAGAAGGCAGAATCCATGAGACTTGGCAGCTTATTTTATTTAAGGAATGAGAGAGTAAAGAATTCAAGGTCACTCTGAGGTTGCAAATTGGGGTGATTAGAAGGATGGTGGTGTCATTAGTACCAATTAAGTACTTTAGAAGAGTTAGAGATTTGGGAGAAAAGAAAATGAATTCTGTTTTAATTATGTTGAGTTTGAGATAGAAGTGGATATCTGAAGAGAGATGAGGTCTAGATATGTAGATTTTGGAATTATTTGCATAGAGATGATAATTAAACTCATGGATGCCGATAAGATTACTAAGACTATAGGGAAAGAAAAGAAGAGGACTTAAAGCAAAGTTCTGAGTTATGTCTATGCCTAGGAAAGAAGCAGGCAAAGATGAAGCTAAGATAAATTGGTCAGAGAGGTAGAAAGGAAACCACAGCAGAGCAGTATCATCAAAACCCAGGGAGAAAGCAGAATGAGGAATATAAAAACACATGTGAAACAACGTGAAATGAAGAAAGCAATCAGAAAAACAAGATGTACATTGACTACAAATGTATAAATGAAAAAATACATTCATAAGTATATAGAGTGATCACTTTGCAGAAAGAAAATTAAAGGGGACAAAAGAAATGATATAGTAGAATAAAGTTTTAGAAACAGAGTTGGGGGGCAGGCAGCTAGGTGGCACAGTGGATAGAGCACTGGCCCTGGAGTCAGGAGGACCTGAGTTCAAATGTGACCTCAGACACATGACACTAGCTGTGTGGCCCTGGGGAGATCGCTTGACCCCAGTTGCCTCACAGAAAAAAAAAAGAAACAGAATCAGGAAAACCTGGGTTCAAATACTGCCGCTGATACTTACTCTATGTATGACAATGGGCAGGTCATTTAATCTCTGAGTCTTAATTTACTCATTGATATCTATTTCATAGGGTTATGGTAAGCATCAAATCAAATAGTATAAAAGCACTTTACATTTAAACTTTAAAGCACTAGGTAGATATCAGTTACTGTTGTTTAATATGTTGAAATTGATATATTCAGAGAACTTTATTTCCTTTTCATTCTTTGTTAATTCCCTGTGTTTATTTTTAAGCTTGGTAATTTAGTTTTTCTTTCTTATTCAGATTAGCTTTTGGTTTGTCAGCTTTGTTGTTTGGTTTCTTCCCCTTCAAAAATTCAGGGTTAGTCCTTGTTTTGAATTTTGTTTTAGCTTCTTTTGGCTTTTAAGTTTTCTACTTTTGTAATTACTTTGGGATCAACAGTTTGTTGTTTTCTAATTTTAAAAAAATGAATGCTCATTTCATTTGTCTTCTTTCTTTCCTGGCAGTATAAGTGTTCAAAGAAATCTGTTTTTCTCTAGGGACTACTTTGACTTCATCCCAGAAATTTTGGTATGTTTTCTCATTGTCATAATTTTCTTTTAAAATATTCATCATTTCTACAATTTGTTCTTTACTCTTATTATGTAGATAGCATTAATTTGACTCCATCTTTCTGTACCTATTTATTTTTAAAATTTTATCATATTATGATTTGCAAAGGATATATTTAAAATTTCTGATCTTTCTTTTGATTATTTACTCATTTTTAAATTCTGAACTTATCGTTAGCAGCAGATAAAATGATCATTTTCATAGATAAGGCAGAAAATAAAAAAGCTCTGAATCTCTATCACAATTTTGTGAATTTATTTTTGTGTGATTAGCACATGATCATTTTTGTAAAGGTGTCATATGAGACTGAAAAAATATGTATCATTCTTAAGATTTCTGTTCACTAATCTATAAAAGTCAGTCATGTCTATTCAGATCTGTAATTTCCTTCTTGTTTATCTTTCTGTTGGAGTTGCCAGTTTTTAAAGAGGTGAATTACCAAAGTAACCTGAAAATATTGTCTTTTAAAGTATAGATTTTAATTGCTAGATTTTGTTTTTATATCCTCTAGATTTTTCCCTTTATTTTTCCCCCTCTTCCTTCCAGAAAGCTCTCCCATCTAACAAATATTTTGTAAAAATAGAGGAAGAAAAAAAATTAAAGCCAATCAGTACATCAGAAAAAAATCTGATATTATATGCAATGCTGTGGACTCCCCTCCTCGACTTATGCAAAGGAAATAGGAAGAGATATCTTTCTTATCTCTTCATCCCTTGCTTCCTTTAAGTCTCAGCTAAAGTCCCACCTTCTTTGAGAAGCCTTTCTCAATCCTTAATCTGAGTGCCTTTCCTCCAAGATTGTGTCCAATTTATTCTGTATGTGTCCTGTTTATATATAGTTGTTTGCATGTTGTCTCTCCCATTATACTGTGACTTCCTGGAGATCAGCCATTCTTTTTTGCCTTACTTTGTATCTCCAGTACTTAGCAGGAGGGTGACTGGCACATAATAGATACTTCCTGGATGCTTGTTGACTTGTCTTGATTTCTTTGGCATCAAGCTTGTTCTTTATAATTTCACAACATTGATTTTTGATTATTTTGCTGTGTTGGTTCTTTCCATTTGCATTGTTGTACTCATTGTGTAACATTGTTTTATTGGTTCTGCTTGCTTCATTTTGTATATGTCTTTCCAAGCTTTTACATATTCATCATTTTATTGTTTCTTAAGCAGCATAGTAGTATTTCATTACATTCATGTACCATGATTTGTTTAGCCATTCCCCAAACTAGAGTAGGCCTCTAGTTTGTTTCTAGCTCTTTGCTAGAAATGTACACAAAGTACACAAAATGCGCTGTTATAAATATTTTAGTGTTTGCAGAGTCTTTCTTTCCATCAATGACCTCATTGGAGTATGTACCTACTGACCTCATTGGAGTATAAACCTAGTAGTGGAATCTTTGGGTCAAAGAGTATGGAATTTTAGCCACTTTATTTGCATAATTCCAAATTGTTTTGTACTAATTTGTACTAATACACAATTTCACCAATGACAAATTAGTGTGTCATATCCTTTCACAACCCCCAGACATTGACCATCTCCATCTTTTTTTCACCTTGCCAATTTTCTGAAAGTGAGGTGAAAGCTCATGGTTGTTTTGATTTTAATTTATCTTATAATTAGTGTTTTGGAAAATTATTGTCTTAGTATTTAAGCCTTTGAAGTTGAATATGCTTTTCTGTTAAGTAATTAGAACTATGACATTCATTACATGTACATTTAGTATTGGTATTATTTTATTCCTCTTAGATGAATGAATTAATATCAGTAATATTTACATACACACCTATATAGTGAATAGCTTGAGAGGCTCCTAACATGTTAGATTAACTCCTTGTGGAGGATTTATGGCAGAAGATAGTGAAACATGAGATGAAAGGGGGTGTATAGGTTATTGTTCTGGGCCAGGTACAAGCTGTCCTAAGGGCAAGGAGAGGGTTTTTTGAGACTGAGTCAGTGAGACAGCA